CTCCACAAGCAAGAAGCATAACTGCTAACAACCGCCTAACTGTACTACTCTCGTTCCAAGATGCTGTTCGAATCTGCTTCCTCATTTGGTCATGGGGCGGTCAAGATGGAGCTCAGGATAGTGAATCTACTGCCTCCTTCAATTACACATCTTTGCGCATGCGGAATCGAGCTCGGAGATTGCTTGAGCATCTTTTCACAGCTGAGGCATTAGAATGCTTAGAGACATTGGTGGAAATTGGGCAAAGGTCTACCAAGGGTAGAGATTCTCGGCCTACGGCTATCTTTAATCTCCTTCATGTTCTTGACGGCTCAAGACCAAAACATACCATTCCTGCAATTTTCAATGCTATATATAGCAGGACGAACCCAAATGCGCTGGATCCTTCAAGGAAATCGACCTTAACATCCTCATTAACCGATACAGACTTGGTGACATTTTTAGTAGACTATGCAAGATCACTAGAGGACGATGCCATGGATGAGATTTGGGTCGACTGTATGACTTTCCTCAAAGACCTATTGGCAAATCCATTCCCACATCGACAGACTCTCCCAAGTCTTCTGGAGTTTGCCGCCATTCTAGGAGTGAAGGTCGATAATACCAATTTCGGAGAACAGCGTCGGATGCGAAGAGAATTAGGAGTGGGTACAAGTTGATTATTGAAGAGAATAAAAACTAACATATCTCAGGATCTCTTCCTTCGATTACTTACTGCGATGTTCACAACCAGACCTATGGGCTTCTCGGAGAGTGTAGAAAAGTTGACAGATATTGATCAGCGGCCATCTTCGTCTCGCCCTTCATCAAGATCCGATGATGTAGTTAACATTTTAGCCTCTATCGCGCCAAATTTACCCAAAATACTTGTTGAAAATGATCGAATACTAAATGCAGCGAATGTCATCTCATCGAGTGTCATTGGGCCAACCTTCAAGTCCAGATCCTTCCCAGACAACGTTTCGAAGAGCACTTTAGAGCTACTATATCAGCTCTCCAGGTTACCTAACACGCAGAAGTCGTGGAGAAAAGATCTTGGAGATGCGTTCAACGATTCTCGCTTCTTCGCAAACAATGTCAGTCTCATTGAAAGTGATTGGCTGCCATTGCTCAGACAGTGGGCATTAAGCGACAAGGAACGAATGCCGGAGTTATTGTCGCGATTAGTTGCACCTTCTACAGCTGGTATCGTGTTTGGCGTTGGAGCAACTTCGGCGCGCTTTGAGGCAGATAGAAAGTCACAACTCAATCTCCGCCGCATCGCCACTCTAGTTCTCGCTACAATGGACGATAACTTTGTGACTGACCTTCCTGTCATGCAAGAGAAGATTGTTGAACTTCTCTCCGCAACTACAACATCGTCTCCCTCTTCTACCACTCGTGCAGATATTTTTCTGCTTCTTCGTGCACTCGTTCTTAAGACCTCGGCCATTCATCTCGCAACCCTATGGCCTATCATCAATGCAGAGCTTCACGTGGCTATCTCATCGGTTGTAGCACCTGATCATAGTACTCCCTCTGACACCTATAACAATTACTCCATCCTACAAGCGTGCAAATTACTAGACACTTTACTTTGCATCGCACCTGATGATTTTCAGCTCCACGAGTGGCTCTTCATAACCGACACCATTGACGCCGTTTACCGTCCCTCTTCTTTCCGACCTGTTTCTTTAGTTGACGAATTGAGTGAAGAACTAGGACTAGCAACAACTACGAATACAGCCGCATTACTAGAATCATCTTCAGTCGCAGTTTCTCAGGCAGTTAAATATTCTATGAGGAGGCCTTTAATGGGGAGAACGAAAGGTGGATTTGGAATTAATGATGAAGGTACTTGGGAGAGGAAAGATGAATTGGTCGCGAAGGTCCTGAGGCCATTCTTTAGTCAATTGAGCATTTTTGCATTTGAGAGTACGTATGGAATGGGGGCGACAGATTGGGAGGCTTGTAGACAGGGGTTGTTGAGAGATTTGTTTGATGAGAGGAGTATTGTTAAGGCGTTGTGAGATTTGATGGGTTGAGAGGTCTGATTAATTTGGAGATTAAAACAGGGGGTCATAAAGGGAGTCGGAAGTAGAGAAAACGATTTATAGATGAAAATGGTGGTGTGCGATGTGATATATCGGGGCGTTCAGAATTGTTTTATTTGTTGGGAAAGAGAGTTATGATATGATTTGATGAGTAGGGGTTTCGGTTGATGGTTTGATGCAAACAGCTATGCATAATGTAGAGAAAAAGATACAAAACATTACAATCTGTTCATGTTCTATTATATCTCTATAGTCTACCATGTAATATCATAGCAAGTAACCTCAATCTTGAGCTAAGTACAAGAGAGATAGAATACTCCTATTCTTGAAATATTTTTGATTGTTGGATTTATTATGATCTCAGTCGTAGTGTTTTGCAGCCCGCGAGTTTAGCAGCCGCCACATCAAGCGCTCATGTACAAACCAGCTGTTCCCCTCTTCAATTTCCCAACGTCCCCTTGCTTGATCACTCCTTCCTAAGCCAACCCAGCTCAAATCTACCTTTACATCGGTCTCGTCGCAGCCAGCTTGTTATCTTTGATAAGGCATTTGAAGGGCGACCTCCGTAATACTTCATGATCAAGTAAAATATATGTCGAATAATTCTCCTGGCGCAGCATCAACTCTAAATGGCGAAATTTTAAAGTTGCGAAAGCCATAAGATGATTTTGTCCATGATATACCCGTACCGCGATCTATCGTTTAAGAATGCTTCTTTGGTCACAAGAAGCCCTCTCTATTGGCCTAAAGCTGCTCAATCAAGACATTTGTTCAGCCAATGTAGAGAACCATTGTATTCCATTTGGTCAAAGTTTTAGCGATATGGTCGTGTGGTCTGTCTATCACGCTATGTAGCCTAGTTGATATCTTTCGATTCATCGTCAGGTTCATCTTGCATAGTACCGGATTTTATCGACGCCTCTCTCAATTTTGCTAATCTTTGGTCGTCGATAGAGTCCATCTGAATTGACAAATCTCCCATTCCACTGCCGCTTGCTTCAGAAATCGAAGCAGGCATGATAGCTCTTCTATTATCGTCGACAGTCCATGCTCGACCAGCTGCAGGCAGATATCTACTTTCTAGCTGGCTGGACCGCTTCATATTTTCCCTTTCTTCGTACAAACGGCTATGATTTTCAAGAACCTCCTGTCGACTCCGCTCAAATTCTCTCTGCTCAGCTTCTTTCGCTACGGACATGTTAGTGCACCGTATGCTTTATCAGGAAAGGGCAATCTTACCTGGATCTCGCTTTCTCTTGGGCATCCATAGGAAATTTTTGCTAGCTGAGCTTCTTTCTGCTACTAGCTTGACGTACTGTTTCTGGCTAATGAGGATATCCCAGTTAGAACTCTTTGTCACAAAGAATTCTGCAGTGTCAGTAGTCGTGCTGCTGTACAGGTAGAATCTTGATGTAAATTTTCTCTTAAATCTCCAAGCTGGCCCTTGCTCTTCGATACCACCCATGTCAAACTGTTCGTCTTCTGGTATCTCGGTGATTAAATGACTCAAACCAACTTCTTGAAGGTATTTCTCGGATACGACGTTTACTTCGGAACCGGTGTCCAGCAACACTCGTGCGACTTTCATCTTTGGTGGCTGGTCACCCTGCACTTCTGGACAGATTACCGCTGTTAAAGTAGTCTTATCTGGATATTTGAGCTGAAGGTCAAGCTGTAAACGCAGTAGTGATGCGTCATTAATATCATCTTGGTATTCGCTCTCAGATTGGTATTGATGTGTATGTCGCACCATGCTTTGAGATCTGTGACTAGTCTTCTGCATGTGGTGCTTATCAGGTCTATCCCCATGCCCATATTGATCATATAAGATCCTTTGCGTTTCAAATAGCATTGATTTAAGGTATAGCACTTCGTGCCTTGTAGAGTAATTTTCGTCAGTATATGCATTGCATGTGAAGTAACATCAGAACTTACATGGATCGTTCGTTAACTTCATTCGCATTGACTTGTTTAATACTGAGTTCTTGAATCTTGAAGCTACACATGAATGAGAATACCACTGGGAGAAAGATCAATGAAGGACTCATACAATAAGCAAACATCTTTCAAAAGGAGTACCGATTGTCTGAAAGAACGGTACCCATTACCCAGGGTCTTCTGTCGTGACGAGATGCGTAACCGTCGGGAGACTGTCAATTTTCCATCTAGGCCAGGACCATACAGCTTATGAAGTTCTTCCTTTAGCTGAATCATGTAAGACTCGCAGCTGCGCATGGAAGCTTCAGCGGCAGCTGGAAGGGGTTCTTTAGAGTTGAGAAATGAATTTTTGATATCCTGTAGAAAAGCTATTAAAACAGGAAGATCATTAATCACGAAGTCTGGGTGTCTTTTAGCCATTCTATTAAGTAAAGCTGCATCGTAAAGAGCCGTCTGTATTTTCATTGCAAGGTCGATAATTCCAATCATAGACGATGCGAAGCCTAATATGGTTGATGGATCTGCCATTGTACAAATATTGCTACCGTGGATATTTGAATTACAGATTCAAACAATAGTTAGGATTTGTCTACGGTTCTTATCCTAAAGCAAGAAGAGTAATTTGATAAGTTGGAATCGACTTTTAGCATGTCGGGAGAACAATGCAGCTTAGCGCCCTTAATGTTCAGCTGAGGCTGTGCCTCAAGCATCCTCGGTGTGGAAGCTTTGATCATTCTCGTTGACTCCGCGAATAGCATTGCGAATTTCGTTACTCACCGAAGACCAAATCTCATTTTAGCGGCACAGTCGATAGAGATGCATGTCCACTGCACCTTGGGCAGTGGAAGCGAGTACATACCAGGATACACAATGCGCAGCCTGCTCAACTCCATACTCGTGGGCCGTCTTGACAATTCCGCTTCCAAAACCATTAAATATTAAACCTGCAACAATCTCATCGCATCTTACAGTACCCGCCATGGATATTATAATGCCATATCATCACCAATCTTCACTATCATAGGATCAATGTGTTCAGCATCACTTGGACACCCACAAATATTAGATCAAGGCTCAATGGAAAGAGTCGATCGTGAACCTGGAACAGCAAACACGATACATACAGCTGCAAGTATCCATACAATGCGATCTCAAAATACTGGAGCGACAGCGCAATCTAGGGTTCCTCCCCCAGAACGAGGCTATCGCAAATTGGCAACCTTCATGACCGAGGTCGACGACGTTGTAATATTTCGACGATTTTCAAAGCTAAACATGCTCAACTTGTTGAGATTACAAGCCGAACTCGCAGGTCTCGAGCTCAGTTACGAAGCCGCCTGCGATATTGACGACGACAGCAGTAATCCACAGGAAAGAGGGTTCACGCAAAGCTTTTATGAACTGCGGGAGTTTGGACAGATATCCCCCGGCTCACAACTGGAGCTGCTAGATAGAATTAATGATACGCTTCACAAGTATAGTAGGTCAGATGTGAGCTCCTAGTATGAATCTAATCACATCTAAATTCGAGTTCAGATAGCGCATTATTACAAGTATCTCAAGTTCTCCGGCTAGACAAGCCCGATGAATATGACCTTGAAAGACTTCACGAATGGTTGAGAGATAAAGATCGGGGTGCACTGTTTCTTCATAAACCAGAGGAAGAAATATGGGGCAAATTATCAGGTTCGGATGCCAAAATTAATACCTCAGATCAAGTGACTCTGATTCAGAGAGAAAGTGGGTTTTCGCGAGTGGTTGCTATTACTCTAGTCTCTCTTTATGATCTTGTATGGGGGCGTCATCGAAATGTAAGCATGCACTTTTTCGTCCCATTGACAAGGCTAAAGGACGGCAGAAAACCAAAAGAGTTGATATTGAACGGAATCAAACGTATTATTCCGAGTCTAATGTCAGATCAGCCGCTAAAGTGCTCACTTCGGTCCTTGCTTCCCTTTTCCCGGGAATTGTGATATTAGCATTATACCTTATCGATACCACGTTGAAACGAATAGGCGCTATGCTTTGCTTCACGACATTCTTTGCATTCGTCCTGTCATATTGGACATCGGCGAAAACGATTGAAGTGTTTGCTGCGACAGCTGGGTAGGTCCTCCCCAGCCTCTTTCCAAACAAGTCGCTTATATGATATAGATTCGTCGCTGTAGAAGTTGTATTTATTGGAAGTGCGAGCACAAAATAAACGGCAAGTTGATCGCCACGAACCATTTCGACGGAATAGAGTTTGTTTTGATAGTGATGATTGTCTGCACTTTTAACTACCTGGAGATAGATTTGTTTAGCGGCTGGGGAGACACACATATATGTAATTACAGCATAGCTTCTACAATGAACAATAGCAATACAAACTGTCTGATAGCACCGAATCAATACTCTTTCACTTGCGATTCCTTGCTTTTGGAGAATTTACAGTTCGAAAGATCGGATAGTGCTTAGTGCAGAAGATGATTTCGCTACCGAATGTAAAGCAATAGGGATGAAGCTAGGCGTCTTCAAATGTAGGTCACCAATCAGCTTTTGCAGTACTGTATAGATTGGAATTTTCATCGCCACGACCGGCCGATTCTCGTGGAGCAATGAAGACTAAGCAACATCGATATATATGCAATTTTGCCACAATGTAAACTTACTATCCTTCTTGAAAAGTTGGAGCAATTTTTTTTGAAGAACTCGTGCGTGTGTCTATGACGCCGATATCGATATTGATTTCTGACTTTGAGATCAGGCTACTTTCCATGCCGATGTTCGGGTAGAAAATACGTGTTGGCCTTTCTTTCACGGTGTGACTGAGGAGTCAAATCGCATGATTCACATGACTGAATGGTGTGATTCATGCTCTGACTTCCGGATGTACTCTTGATTGAAAGATCCCTCGCCATCATCAATGTGGAGATAGAAATAGACTATAGTAAGACAAACGGTAGGGGTTATAGAAATTACGATTAGAAATGGATGTGTGATCAAAACGCGAACATACTACGTAGAAACTGCAAGAATGGATTCCAAAAATACATGTTTGTTTTCAGACTGCTGGTATAATGACATAATTTTTGAAACTAAGCAATCGATTTTATGATAGTCCACTGCACTGCACTTCGACGTGCTGCACTTGCAGAATACCAGAGCAGCGCCTCTCCCCTTCAAAAACACGGGGACAGATAACCATGGTGTAGCTGATGAGCAAGGACTTAGAAATCTTCTAGCTTCATCATTCTTTCATCCTTCTCATTCACCAGGTTGCTCTGCTTCTCATCAGTTTTGCAGGCAAGAGGTAAGATATGGATCGATATTCTCTATCCGCTGCGACTACAGCATTCAGGGATAGCAAGCTAACTAGCTATTCTGCGATTCCTGTCCCTTATTCATATTTACATTCTCTGCTTTGCTTGTTTCGATTCTTGTCTATAGTTGCCCATTCGTGCGATATATATGATGAATAAAGAATGAAGGATGGAGAATGAAGAATGGTATGTATGATCATTTGGGGGTGCTGGATGTGAAGTTATTGTACGCTGGGCAAGTGACTGAACGTCGAGATATTTTCCCGTGAAGCCTCAAGCTACTAGAATAGAAAATATTGGGCAGGCCAGTAGCATTCATGACAAGATAATAAAATACCGTGCGGTTTCTGGACTAGTGAGTTTGTGGAGAAGGGGATGAGGATTGAGATTGAGATTAAGATTGAGATTATTCCTGCGACTACCCAGATACCTAAACTAAAAAACGAATGCGAAAATTCGAAGCACGAGATCATTACATCTAGAATATTCAAGTCTTATTCTTTCTATACCCTTGTGGTTCCTATTTACCAACGAGCATTTGCGTTGTATAATCCCACTCGGCTAGTAGGTATGTATTGTGAAGTTACTTTTTCATCGACTAGTATATGAATGTGAAAACACCTGATAGTGGTAGTAATATCGATATCAGAATAACGATTGTATCTCTGATGTTCCTATAAGTACCTAATAAAGTCACCAATTCTCATACCACATCTACAATTCCATGCAAGGTTACCCATCTATCTATTCATCATTCATCATCCAATAATGATACAACCCACTCCCCAAACCATTATCATCTGCACACATACAGAAAGCCGCCTCTCAATTCATACACATGATCCCATAGCAGCACTAGCAATACTTCACCCCAAGAGAAGAGAAATCTTAGCCACATACCACGTATCACGCATCTCTGTATCCCGGGTTCCTTACGCGGTAGGTAGGCACCACATGAACATCGACAACACAAACGCTACACAACATGTCCAGGACGTCATCTCGATTCACTGCATCACTATCCCACATTACCATTCTGCATCACGGCTTCGTGTGTAGCATTACATGAATCGTGAAAATACGCCATGTACTACTACTCTCTTCTGTAGGATGACATACTTATGTACGTATGTATCTTTACATCATTATGAGAAACGTATATTCAAATCACAACGTTTGTCAGGTGATACTACAGACTGCAGAAGCGGTGCTTCGTGACAGATTCTTTGCACCAACAAGAAATGATATGCCACGCTCCGATACGATAGATAGTAAAACTGTAGAAATACACTTGCATTCCGCGCTATCTTCGCATACAACTCCCCTTTCTCATCATTGCATTTTTCTCGATACCTCGGTACGCAGTGTTCAAGTCATGTTCCGTATCGCATTCCCTACCTTACCATACTCATTCTAGAAGGTGCGTATATACCTCCAACTCCATTGCATCATTCACGAACTTCCATGGATGTATGGTACGTACTTCGTATGTATGTGCATCACATCTATCTCACCAGCAACCTCCAACATTCGCGATCAGCCCCAACAGGAGATTAGATTGAAACACCGCAGGAAGTTTACGGTAGCTGACGCCGTTACCGGGCGCATTATACAGGGCCCCCTATTTCCTATTTCCTATTTCCTCTTCCGCATCATGATCCTCAGGGTATCCATATCTATATCTTGTAAGGGCCGATGATTCTCTTCGGGATGTGCATGCAAAAAGTGGAAATGGTTATTCCGGGAGTATCTATGTATCTAGTCTATCGATATAAATAGGTAAATAAACCCCAAAACCCAAACACACACCCTGGAAACAACAAAAGAGAGAGTGAACCCCTACATTCTCTCTGTCTCGCCTTGTCCGCTCTGCTGTCGATCCTATCCCAGCAAAGTAGGCTATCTCCCATCCTCGCGTTCATCAAACAAAGGTACCCAGCAAGCGTTTATCACACACCATACCACATAGCCCCGAAAAAGAAAGGGAATGGTCCATCTTCCAATCTCGTCTATCGTTCTATGTGTTCTTCTCGAAGGCATGATCTTAGACATTTCCCCTATCTTTCATTCATTTTAAAAACCGACTTGCCTAGTTTGAGAATGAACCCTGGTTTGTATCTTTTCGGGTGATGGAGTAATAAAACAGAAAAAGTAAAATATCAATATGTAAAAAGATTGTGTTAGGGTTATGTAATCAAAGTCCCTGCTTTCATCTTAATAATGATAGGATAAATAATGATAGGATGGAAAGACAGCAGGGTAGAGAATTACCAAATCAGAAGGAAGAGCAAGAACAAGAACGAACATGCATTACATTACATTACCATTCGCAAAATCTCTACACAACTCGGGCTATTCGCCACCAAACTACTGCCTGTGACTGTCTGTGACTGTGTGCGTAATACGAAATGTGTACCTAATCTCAACACCCACCAAGGTATCTACAGGCTACAAAGTAACCAAGTGAATACGACAGCGACATATCGATTGGGCAACAATGACGTCGTCGATACTGCATCCGCATTCCTCATTCCTCACTCCCAGCTTTTCGCCCTCAGGAACACATCGATTAAATCCATTCCATGGTCGTGATGTCTCTTGCCCCCTTGTACAACTTTCCACACGACACAGGGGAGAATAACAGGTACCGTACCGTATGTACCGCTCCATTCCTCAATCCACATCCACATCCACCCACATCCAAAAATATCCTCCTCAAGAGTCCAAAAGCCCCCAAACTCAAACCCCCCCCTCAAACAAAAAAGATATACCAAAACCAGTAATCCGTTCCTTCCCCCGAATTGTCCTTTTCAAGTAATACCCACCTCTTCCCCGTCCCTCTCCTTCCCATTCGTCAACTCGTCCTGCCCATCCATGCACAAAGCGCGTGCAAACTTCACCTTGTTCCCAAGCCAACCGAGACCCCAAGACCCTGAATCAAAAAATCCATCTGCTACACCGCAGGTAAGGCTTGGCGAACAGGGGCACCCGGCTCCACTGCGTGTACTCTTGTAAATGAAAAAATCGTTGAGTTGAGGGGATTTCAATTTACAGGTCAAGCCATTGATGTCATATGTCTCAGATGTTGGAGCGAATGGGGAAATCTGCCGTTGAAATCATTTTCTTATCGTTTTTGGACCCCATTTGGCTGGTGTTGGGTAGGTTATGGATGGATGATGGATTATAGATTAGAGATGGTGAATGCGATTGAGCAGATAAATGCTGGTTTGAGCGCAAACTCAATTGGGGGACTGGGTGGACAATCGTTAGGAGATGGAGTCGACGGAACAGACTCCGTCGATGAGATGATTGACGGACCATTCATTGATGGCGGATACAGCGCGTGTATGTTGCATTCTGGATCTATCTATCTAGTCTCTATCCTTCGGTACCATGCCGCTATCCTCGGGAGAGTGAAGATCGAAGATTTCATATGTGATCGTCTGGGTAGAAACAATTTCTATGGAGCACACACGCGCACACCATACTATACCACACAATCAATCCAAACTCAAAGTAAGTCTCAAAGTCTCAAACGAGGATGAGAGAGGCGAGGAGAGGAGAGAGAGGAGACCAAAAAACATGCTCAGTGGAGAATGAACATCCTTCCTTTGCGGATCTCCAAAACAAGAGATCCCTTTACACATAACACATAACAATAACACATCAAACATATTTTCCCAAGCGATCCGGCAGCATCCAGTTTCCACATCTCCACTAAGCGTTGAGATTATCAACCTCCTACAAATGATAACATCACAGTGACATTCCCGCATGCATTCCCATTCCCATTCCCATTCCCAACTCTTATCCTCTGTACCTCAGGCATCTACAACCATCTAAATCTCTCTCCGAATTTCAGAAACCGTCCGCGTTCTAGACACGTGGAGAAAGGAATCAA